AGGAAATATAAACCAGCAACTTAAGACACATCAGCAGTCACCTGGGGCTGGGGAAGGGGGGATATATAGGGAAGTACAGGAATAAAGTATTTTTAAAGGACAAAAGGATACACCAAGGTAATGTTCAGTATATTGATATGGTGGTTTCAAAACATTTCAAATTGTACACTTTAAATGTCTACTGTTATGTATCAGTGATGCCTCAATAAAGCTAATACCACCACACTGCATGTAAGGTATGTTGCTTTAAATTTGCCCAAGGCCCTAACTTCCCATGATCCAGAATTCCTGGGTTTGGCTTTTGAACATTCCCAGTTCTCAATCAGTTATGAGCTTATAGCTTGGGCATGTTTCTATAGTAGCCTGCAGGTTAAAAAATTGAGTGCCTTAGTTTCTGCTTAACAAGTCTTCCTTTTCCAGGTGCTACACCTCCCTGGATGGTCCAAGAAGAGGAATACAGTTCTGGGAACCAACAAATAGGACCCTCCTATGAAGAATTTCTTAAAGAAAGTACGTAAACTAATTCAGGTGTGGTAGTAAATTATTTAAATATTCCCACTTAAATAAAACTGTTGATAATTGCAGAGGAAAAACAGAAATTGAAGAAACTCCCCCCTGACAGAGTTGGGGCCAACTTTGATCACAGCTGCAGCACCAGTGTAGGCTGGCTACCCTCTTTTGGCCGGGTCTGGAATAATGGACGCCGCTGGCAATCCAGGTTGAGTCCAATGCCAGGAAGAACCCCAACCCACCACCCCTTTGGAGAGTTCACCCTTCATCCTCTTAAAACCCCCGTTTCCTTTCAGGCATCAATTCAAAACTGAAGCTGCAGCAAGGAACAAACAGCAGTCACGTGAGGGAAAAAATCCTATGGTTTCTTGATAATTTTCCAACGACCACACAGCTCAAAACCAAGTCAATAAACCCGTATCTGCTTTTATCCTCTGTAATTGCCTTTCTAAGGAAACAGACATACCACTTACTTGATTTAATAAAGTTTTATTTTTCGAAGTGTAGTTGGTGGGACCTGTTAAAAAAAAAATTTTGTGTGAGAATCAGAAGTATTGAGCCTTGTAAAGGGGATACATACTTCCCACTCTAGGAACCCCTAGGTTCCTGCTCACCTTTTCATTTCATGCATCTTCACCAGCAGCTGGGGCATCTCCACCCTTGGTGTTTCTGGTATAAATTACTTGAGCTCTGTGCTTTGAGACCAATT